AAAAAGGAAGTCACTGTGGGAGCTAGAGCAGGGGAGGCCCGTGGGCTGTGTGCTGGGATGAATCCTGGGTGATATGCAGCAACTAAGAGTCCGCAGATCAGAAGCCACAAGAACACACTGGTTAGGGACCTGGCCCTCCATACTTCCACTCAGTATCAGCCCTCAATACACACACACACACACAATCATACGCTCTTGGCAGTTACATTACTTCTCCCATGATGTCGCAGGATGTGTGGTTAAGCATAACCAATGGACATAAGACACTGGGGGATGGGGGAGGCTAGGGGACTGTCTTGGGCGGGGGGAAAAAATGGACACATATGTGATATCCTTTGTAATAAATAATAAAATTTAAAAAAAAAAGAAAAAAAAAAAAGGATCCATGTTAAGTGTAGCATGGCCATTAGGAAATTTTGAACCCTGGGGTGCCGTGGTTTGATCTGCATTTCTTAAAAAGTTACTCTAGCAATATGCAAAGTAGACTATAAGGGATCAAGAATGACAGCTCGGTGGGCCTATTAGGCAGCTATTTCAAGAGTCCTAGTGAAAAAAGAATGACACCTGAGTGAGGATAAATATGTAGAAAATGGTGTATTCTCTGATTCCCCTGTAACCCAAAGATGTGTTTAGGCAGTAATTTACTACATAACAGTAGAATGAAGGAGTAGCTACACAGTGTTTTTTCTTTGCTCATTCAAGTTCAGGATTCACTTTTTTTGGGGGGGTGGGGGGGACTTCTGCCATGCATGTCTAAACCATGCGATTACTGCCCCAGAAATTGTTAAGTCCATGATTTGGAATAAGTGAAGTAATCTTGCAAGTTAGAAGATACAGCCAAGTAGGTGTTGAGTACAGGTAATATATTTCATGGAGACTTCAAACCTGATTATAGCTAATAATTATCTGGTGTTAATCCTGCAGATAATCTACCTTGAATATCTTTTAGACAGTCCACCAACATGATTTTAGGAGTACTAGTATCTTTTTAATTAGGCCAGAGTCATGTTTTTAATTTTTTAAAATTAATTTTCCTTCCCTTCAGTAATCTCATTTCCAGGAAGACCTATGCCATGTATGCGGAAACCTCATCGGGGATCCATGAGAGACTTTTAAGTTCTTTGTATATTCTTTAAACTAGGCATGATTAAGAAGTTAAGTGGAGAGACTGTCAAATCATTAATTTTCTGCGGTGATTGGGTAAGTGTCCGGGTTCCTTAAGCAGATTGCACAATGTTGCTTTTTCAGATGGAGGACTTGCCATCTGAATGCACCCTGCCTCAGAGGAGAAGATAGCTGTAGAGGTTGGGGCTGTGCCTTAGAAATGTAATTTGCTCAACAAAGCATGGCAGCTAAGCCAATAGAGTGTTTGTTGTGTGGTCTTTCTCACTAGGCCACGTGGTAAAGCTCTGAGGCCTGGAGAATGCGAAAATGAATTAAAATGCAATTTTCCCCCCGTAGATATTTTTGAATGCGGACACCATTCGGCTGGGAAACCTGCCCACCGGCTCTTTCTCGTCTTCGCCCAGCTCTCCCAACCCTCGACAGACAGTGTACGAACTGTGCGCCTGCCCCAACGGCAAACTCTACCTTTCTCCGGCAGGAGTGGGTTCCACCTGTCAGTTCAGCAGCAGCATCTGCTTGTGGAACTGAAGTGACTGATGCCTCCTCACACCAGAATAGCCTTTGTTCCTGTCTGTCTGCTTCACGGTTCTGCTCGGTTTCCCTGGTGATCAGTCCAGAGCTGCTTCCAATGGTCCACGGAGCAACTTCTGACGGCGCCCGCAGGGATTCGCCTCCACCTTCTCCTGTGAGTTCCTGTCCCGCTCAGCACAGAGGGTGTGCGTGGCAGGACAGCGGAAGCTCGTCTCCAGCAGGAAAACTGGATCACACCTTTGGCTCAAAGGGAGAATAACATAGGTGCCTTTGCTACATGAAGTGAAGCACACAGTTTTAGATTTTTGCAGGACCTGGATATGAACTGCACATACGTCCATTACCTAGATGAAATTCCCAGTGTCCAATGGCAAGAGGAAATGGTTAACCCTGTGAGAAAACTAACACGACAGTCTGAAAGCACAATTTTCCATTCATCTTTTTAGATGTACACTCCCCGCCCCCCAGAGAATTTTAAAATGTTAAAGCATTATGTAATGCTTGCTTTACTAAAAATTAAATTCAATAGATGGTTTTTAACAAAACAAAACAAAAAGACAGAATCCCACCTTGAGTTTTGTTTCTTTAAATTCAATGTGTTGTTACTCTTTGTCTACTATGTCGAGAATTTTGTACATTAGCTAATTTTGAAAGCACTCAGAAATATATTTACAGAATTAACCATATGCCACCCTGCTGTCATTTGTCAGGTCTGAATGTCCTTATGTAGTATCTACTTGGCTATTGCATGTGACATATTTACTTTTAGCAAAACATCTAATTTATTGTGATACAAGAAAGGATTAAGAGGGGCATACAGGCAGGTGGTGTGGATCCACCTGCTATGTGTTATACGTAGGTTCTAATGGTACAATTTTTGTTTGCACATTCACTTTATACTTGACTCGGACTGATGAATTCAAACACCCTCTAAATAAATGCTAATGTGCCGCGTAGTGCTGAGAATGGGTTCACTTTCCATTGGAGTATCATCTTCAGAAGTAAATCTATGCATTTTTCACTGGAGATCAATATTTAAGGACAGTGGAAATTAAATTTAAAATTCCTGCTCAAGTAGCAAAAGAAATATAAATGCTAACCAATGTTGAAAATGTGTTTACATCATTAGATGCGTATTTTAAGGAATTTGTTCTTTCAGCCCTTAACATTTACTTTTGTCAGACTCTTAAGCTACCCTCCTACCAGAAATCATAGTTTCCTCCCTTCTTCACTGCTTATTTTTGTAAATTAGCTTCTAAAACACAACACCAGAATACTGTAGGTTCATTTATCACAACATTCCTTAACTCAAAATTTTTTGAAACTTACAGAATCCAAGAATGTAAAAAATTGTATTAAACATTTTCTATTATGGGAAAATGACTTGGTTACTATAAGGTAAGTCCTTAATTTTCATATGTCAATCAATCTTCCCAGGCCCTCCCATGCACACTGTTTAGGTGTGTGGGAGCTTCATTCTGAGGGACCCTGACTGTAGACACTGAAGTTCAGGCCTCTGTAGCCCAAAGTAAAGTGGGAGAGTGGGACTTGTTGAGGTTATTGGGGTGGTGGAAGCAGGAAAATGGGTAATGTAAGCAGTGAACCATTTAGCCAGATTATCTTCTTTGCATGATCCATCATATCAAATAATTGAGAAAGCTCCATTTCATTAAATAAGTCCTATACTCAGCAGAAGAAGCAGAAAGCTAGTTCAGTCTTAATACTTTTAAAAGAGAATTTAACTTGCGTTTGGGGCTCCTTAAATAAAACTTTAAATCAATATTGGAGGAAGAATTAAGCTATGCTATTGCTGCTATTGCTTAAAAGTTATATCAGAACACGAGACTTCGATTTATTTAAAATATTAGAATTTAACATGAGAAATTCTCATAATGTTTTTTGCAAAATACTAATACAAAGTACAATACAAGAAATTTTGAGAAATTACGATGCTAATCACCGTTATGGACTTTTTAGGAAAAACTACATATTAATTTGAGTCATATTTAAGTTGAAAACACCTCTAAATTAAAACAATTAGAAAAGTTCTTAATCAAGAGGTAACAGGTTTGTTTTTGTTGTTTTTTATTAGTAATTAGCTGTGTTTCAAATCTCAGCTCTGTCTTCTACCAATCGTCCGCTGATTTAGGCATCTGGGGACATCTCTTAGCTTTCGTTTACTCATCTTTGCAAAAAAAGTATTGAATCAAATGGTCTCTTGAGATTCCTTCCACCTCAAACATGTTCTTATTTCAAAAGCAAATATTATAGGAGGTGGAGGGGCCACAGAAATGTTATGTCATAAGAGGAGAACAGATGAAAAGAGTGAGGAGACAAAACCCTATAAAAACCAAATCTAGTGAGGGGTTGTCAACATTTGAATTCAAATATATTCTGAAATGTTATAGAAATAATTAAAAAGAAATACATAAGCTAAGAGAGTGAGGCTATGTCTAGGTGATGTAACAATATCTGCTCAATTTAGTAGGAAAAAAAATGTGATACATACGGCTTTCCTCTCCAATACCAAATAATTGGTGACTGGGTGCTTTAGAGTCCTTAGTTTTTAGGTATAGACTCAGGCCCAGAGTTCAAGCCTCTTTTGAAGACACGGAAAATTGCTCTCAAAAGTCCTTCATTTTCTTATCAAAGGTCTGATTCTTTCCTAATAAAGCATTCCCTCCATTGCAGACTAGCCAAGCAGATTCATGATCTGTTTTTTTAGTACCATTTTTACATCACAACATATGTAAATAGAGTCAAGTTTATTTCGTTGCAAATTTAATCTTTTCTAAATCAAACTCAGAAAAAAAAATGATTCTTTAAGTGTAGTACATGAACCCTAAATTTTGCATTCAGTTTAGCTGTAGAAGACAGAAAGGTGGCGAGCCAGAGGGTGGGGGAGTGTATTAGAAGGCAAGCAGGTAAAATAGGAAGGAATTATTTATATAAAGAATTTAAAATGATGCTTCAAATTTTACATTAACCAGATAATCTTAGAGTTCGTACCCCAAACCTTTGAGAATTGAGCCAGGAGTTCTAATTCTAGTTCTGCTCCCCGACTCATGTGACCTAAATAAATATAATTAATTATGTTGGCCAGAGCTTACCTGTCTATGAGAGGGGTATATCAAACTAGGAGGATGTTTTTGTTATTTTCATCTCTAAATTTAATCGGTTCACTTAAGACTCAGTAATCTTGAGTTCAGTAGCCCAGTCTGAACTGGCACCATTAATCTCCTCTATACCTTACTTAACATGTTGCTTATAAATGTTGAAATGCAAATCCTCCAGCGTGCTACTCTCTACTCCTTTTTTTCTATGCTCCCTTTCTTGCTCTTACCATTTGAACATTAATGTCCCTTTTAAAAAATAATGCTTTTTTTGACAGGTTTCAGTAATTTGGTTGACCTTCAAAAGGAAAAGAATATATTTGGATCTTATTAAAAATGACTATTTAGGGAAATAATGGAAACATTTACCAAATGTTAATACTCTGTTGGTCATTCTATTATTATTTATTCTATCAAACTAAAATGCATTGTGTCTTTTTAAAGGTAATTTGATCAAAAAGGTCAATTGCTACATTTTTTATAATATGCCATTCAAAATTCCTATGTAATTCTAGCATCTGAATTACTCAATTGGATAGTGCCTCATTTTCTAAAATTGGCATTTGGTACAATAAAACTTCTAGTGAATTATGCCATTGCAAAAATGATATCTCTGAATGAGGCCGCCATAGGTAGAGGGCTGGCGAGTGTTTGATGGGTTTACCTGGTTAAATTTTATAGCAGGTCATGTCAAGATCATAACATTCATTAAACCGTTGTAGTTAATGCTACCGAATGGCCAAATTCTGTATGGCAAAGCAAACTCACAGATGAGTTTTGTATTAGTGAGGTCTTGTCACCTTCTCTCAGTAGCTTTGGTCTAGTTAAAACTGCTCATGTGACCTATTTAAAGATACTTATTTTCTCTATATACTCTTATACCTTATAGTCATGAATATTGCAAAACATCATAAGTAAGATAATATTGTACTTTTATTCTTTTAAAACAATCATAAACTAATGAATGTCCTCCCTGAACATCGTTATTCATATTGTTTCATACTGTAGTAAAGATACTTATTTTCTCTATATACTCTTATACATTATAGTCATGAATATTGCAAAACATCATAAGATAATATTGTACTTTTATTCTTTTAAGACAATCATAAACTAATGAATGTCCTCCCTGAACATCGTTATTCATATTGTTTCATACTGTAGTTCATTAGTTGTGTAAATCTCAAAGACCAAAGACTGAGATTTCTATTATATTTCACTCTAAAACACTGCTGCTTCTACTAATTTATTCAAATAAATAGGAGGGCTTATAATTATAATGTGAGATAGTAAACATCCTCCTTGCCAGAGTCTGAGCTGTAGATGAGTAATTAATGCTTTTGTTTAAGAAGGAAACCGTTCTTAGTGTAGTCCACTTACCTTTTACACATGCATAATAAAATCCTTGTTATCCACAAAACCAGTCTGTAAAGACTATATCCCCAAATGGGCCCAGGAGGGATTTACTCAGCCGAGTTCACACTTTCATTGCTTGCTAAAAATTCCTTGGAGAATATAATTAATTTGAAATACTTTTAGAACCACAGGGCTATTTTTTATGTTGATTGAAGCGATTCCAATCTTTGAGAAAGTCAATGAAAAACATTAAAGGAAATGAGGTATAATGAACCGTGATTCTTTTTGTTTTTGTGTTCTTAATATCTCCTTTGTTTGAATACTTATAAATAAAAGCCAAACAGGGTTAACGATGTGCAAGGACATTCACTAACAATGGAGATGTGTAATTTTGTGTTTCAGTGTCTCGTTATTTTATACAATTCTTTTAACCAGGTCCACTATTCATTTATTTTGTTTTGTAATTTTCATGTAAATGTTTTCTTGTGTATATATGACAAATGGAACTATTTTCTTACACATACTATGCAATATGTTTGTAAAATTGCAATATTACCAAAATTACAAAAGCTGTGCTTTTGTACTCGATCTTGCTTTATGTAAAATCTATCTTTTTCTATTTAAATGGACTATCAGCTCCATAAACTGTAGATAACATATCTATTGAAAAATCAGTCTATTGTATCTTTTGTTTAGTTTTGGCTAGAGTGGGCTACGTTTCTTTTGGGAGAAAATGCACAAAGTTTGGCAGTTGGAAACTTCTTTCCTCAGAAAATGAGACCCTTGATGCATGCAATGAGCTCATTTAATTTAAGATCTCTCCTGTAATTCTTGTATTTTGTCCTAATTTTGGTGCTACTGTGTAACCATGATTAAATGTGATAGTCAACAAAGAGGATCAAAACTCATATGCTATCATTTCATTTATTTTATCAAGAAAAGTTCGTAGAGAAGGGAAATGAGTATTTGTAGGGAATAGAGACCTTTTTCAATGATGTGTTTTAATCAATG